TTTAAAATATCTCCCTGTCCAAAGAGAAAAACCAATGTTGTTTTCACCTATTTTACCATCATAAATCTCTAGAACTAAGTGATATGTTTATTTACATTATGATTTATTTGATTACTAACAGGTGATACAATCTTCAAGTGGGTAGTGATTTTTGCTGCAATTGTTATAAATTGTGTGATTTAAAAGAGCACTCACAAGTCTTGATATTTGAGGGAGTGAAAAAATAGAATATGATGTTATTTGAAATTTAATTTTTCTTTAATAATCCATGGGCATTGATGAATAGTATTTGCATTTCCTTAATTGAATGAAATCCTATTGTCGTTGTCAACTTAAAGATATTTCATAATTGTTATATGTGAGGAATCAACAAAAGATAGATCTTCTAAAACACAATTTGGATTTAAATTTAGTGTTAAAACTTTAACCAAGGGGTAACAAATAAGACTAAGCTTAAATTCATTAATCCCCAAAGGTACATGACATTGTTTTTGAGGGGTTCAAATTTGCTGCAGTGTTGGTCATTTTGGCATATAACCCTTCTGTTTTTTTAATATCCTAGAATAACTTCATGTTGAACAAATGCTTCAAATAAATTATTTAAAGTTGCTTGCTACCACATCTAGATGGTTCTAAATATGATCATGATTATTATTTGCTTGCTGCCACATCTAGAGTTGCATGTGTCTAAATATGATCATAATTATTATTTGTTTGCTACCACATTTAGAGTTGCATATATGCATGCTTTGATGTAGCTTTCCATTTACTGTTGATATTAATGTGATTTCTAGCAAATTATGTTCTATGCATATTGATGGTTTACTATATTAATGTGATGGCCTTTGTGTCACAGGGGCCAAATGTGGATCCCAACAGACAGGTTTGATATAAATTAAATTGTTTGATAGTTAAATTTTCACACAACATATATATAATAAAATTCGAATATGTTTAACACATAATTAGAAAGAAAGACAAAGGATTTTCCATTGTTAGCACGAAACTTAGCACACACGACTACGTAGGCACAAGAGACTTGTGGGAGAAGACGAGACTCGAATCAGATTCTTGGTTTGGGAGTTAGGGCCGGATTTCACTCTAGGCAAACTAGTTTCTTAAGAAACTTAGAATTTGAGGTGTTAACGCCCCAAAATCACCAAACGGCGTCGGAGAAGCACAAAACTTGGTACACACGACTGTCTAGGCACGAGAGACTTGTGGGAGAAGATGAGACTCAAATCAGGTTCCCGGTGCCGGATTTCACTCTTAAGAAACAAACTAGTTTCTTAAGAAACTTAGAATTTGAGGTGTTAATGCCCCAAAATCACCAAACGGCGTCGAAGTAGCACAAAACTTGGCACACACGACCGCCTAGGCATGAGAGACTTGTGGGAGAAGACAGGACTCAAATCAAGTTCCCGGTTTGGGAGTTAGAGCCAGATTTCACTCTTAAGAAACAAATTAGTTTTTTAAGAAAATTAGAATTTGAGGTGTTAATGTCTCAAAATCACCAAACGACGTTGGAGTATCACGAAACTTGGCACACATGACTGCCTAGGCACGAGAGACTTGTGGGAGAAGATGGGACTCGAGTCAGATTCCCGGTTTGAGAGTTAGAGCTGGATTTCATTATTAAGAAACAAACTAGTTTTTTAAAAAACTTAGAATTTGAGGTGTCAATGCCCCAAAATCACCAAATGGTGTCGGAGTAGCACGAAACTTGGCACACACGACCTAGGCACGAGAGACTTGTGGGAGAAGACGGGACTCGAATCGGATTCCCGATTTGGGAGTTAAAGCCGGATTTCACTCTTAAGAAACAAACTAGTTTCTTAAGAAACTTAGACTTTGAGGTATTAATGCCTCAAAATCACCAAACGGCGTTGAAGTAGCACGAAACTTGACACACACGACCTCCTAGGCACGAGAGACTTATGGGAGAAGACGGGACTCGAATCGAATTTCTGGTTTGGGAGTTAGAGCCAGATTTCACTCTTAAGAAACAAACTAGTTTCTTAAGAAACTTAGACTTTGAGGTGTTAATGCCCCAAAATCACCAAACGGCGTCGAAGTAGCACGAAACTTGGCAAACGACCTCCTAGGCACGAGAGGCTTGTGGGAGAAGACGGGACTCGAATCGGATTTCCAGTTTGGGAGTTAGAGCCAGATTTCACTCTTAAGAAACTTAGAATTCGAGGCATTAACACCCCAAAATCACCAAATAACATCGGAGTAACACGAAACTTGGCACACACGACCACCTAGGCACGAGAGACTTGTGGGAGAAGACGGGACTCGGATCGGATTCCCGATTTGGGAGTTAGGGTCGGATTTCACTCTAGACAAACTAGTTTCTTAAGAAATTTAGAATTCGAAGTGTTAACGTCCCAAAATCACCAAACGGCGTCAAAGTAGCACGAAACTTGGCACACATGACCGCCTAGGCATGAGAGACTTGTGGGAGAAGACGGGATTCGAGTCGGGTTTCTGGTTTGGGAGTTAGAGCCGAATTTCGGTTTAGACAAAATTATTTACTTATCTTTGTAATTGTATAGTAGTTAAATTTTTATATTTTTTTGTAATTAACATATTAACACATAATTATATTGTCATTAATTATATATTTTTATTTTTTTCAGATATTTCCCGAGTAAGAGTTTGCTTCTTGTGGAATGTATGTTTGTGAAGAATGCGACTAAGGCCTATGTCTGTGAAGAATGCTACTTAATTTTTATTTTTGTTATCCACGGAGAATGATGAGAAAAACTTGTAATTTTGGTTTATGTTATTTTGAATTATAAACAGTATTATGTATTTAAACATTATATATGTATTATAGAATATTATGTAGTAGTGTAATTTTGTTGATGTGTAATTATGATTGCAAAAATATTTTTATTATGGAGAAATTATTTTTTTTATACAGGAATTTTTATATTGTTATACAATTATTAGTTTCTTTTTCAATTGTTTTTCATTTAATACAAGTAATTTTAATATTTTTAATAATTTTGTTGTATTTTTTTTTTTTGCAACAGCACCATACCGTCGCAAAAAATATTACAACCATTGGCGACAGTGGGCATGCCGTTGCAAAAAAACAAAACCATTCGTGACAATATTTTTTGCCGTCTCAAATAAAATTTTTAGCGACGGTAAAACGGTGCCATCGCAAAAGGTACTTTTTTACATATTATATGTGAAAATAAATTGCCGTCGCAAAAGGTAACAATCGTTGTCGCTGAAAAAAGGCGACGGCATGATGTCGTCGCTAAAAGGTTTTTGCAACGCCTATTATTGTGATCTCTCATTTGTCGTCGCTAAAACTTTTTTGAGACGGCATTAAGAGTATAAGTGACGGCACCATGCCGTCGCAAAAAACGAAAATTTTTGTCGTGTCTAAAAAATTTTTAAATTGGATTTATCTGCTGATTGATTTTTTAGATAAATAACTTTTAGTGAAATTATGAAGTCTCGTTTGTCAACTACATATTTTAGCTAAAAAATCATTATAAGTTATCATATCATTCTTTCTATTTTTCTGTACATATATTTTTAAACGTTTTATGTGAAATTATAATGAAATAAAATGCTTCATTATTAACTTACACCATTTAATGCACGTCTCCTAAAACGAATTACTTTTCAAACATGACAAAATTATGGACCAAAGAGTTTTAAAACGTTAAAGGCATTCACACTTGCAATAAAACGTTTTTCGCTGCAAATCTAGAGACATAATATTAGAAAGTCATAACAAAAAAATATTTCAACAAATGTCCCCAACCCATGAAAAAAAATTCACTATACACACCCTTTCTAAATGTGCCTTCTAATTTATATTAGGATAAATTATAAAATCATGAGCAATATTAAGATAATAATAATTTTATGAAATAAATTTAAACATAAAAAATTACATATTCATTATTAATAAGAACAAATCAAAATTCTATAATAGTATGGAATAGCTCGATGTCGGATGATGACGTAAGTTTGCAATTTTAGTACAAAAAATTATGGATCAAAATTCCTAATTTAAAAAAAAAAAACACATCATTTATAGTACAAATTATTATCAAATCTATTTAATTTTTATTTGACAGAAAAATATTAAAGAGATGACATTACTTATAAATTATGTATTTTGAAAGAAAATTATTAAACAATCTTAGAATACCATATGACGTTGCTTATGTGATGCTCAAAGCATAGAAATCACAAATTACACTAAGTGGTTTGTCAACTATTTGAAAATAATGAGTTCATTATATCTAATTTATAATATTTTTTGCTACACTATTGATTCAAACTACTACATAAACAATACCACATAGTGTTCCTAAAGTATGAAATAACTACTTATTGTGAACAATACAATAAATCTTTAGCCAAAGAACATGTAAAGGGGAAAAAAAAATACATTTTATACATGACAGTAACCAAAAAAACAAATTCAAAACTGAAAGAGGGCACGTGACCCCTTGGCTGGCCCTGCTGTGCCTCCACCCTGATCCTACCTAATATTATATCTAATTAGTGTGTCAATTGATTCACTAATTAGTGTTCTCATCAGAGTATTGAAACCAATATGCCAGGTAAAATCTAATCAAATCATGAAAATTGTTTCTGGAATAAAAAAATAAAAAAAAAGGGACAATTACTAATTAGTGAGAATTGGAAAAATTATTAACAAAAACATGATATACATTATAAATATTAATAACTAAAATTATAAACTTTATACTTTTGTAAATAATTTTTCTAATCCTCGCTTATCAGTATTCCCCCAAAAAAATTATGAAAAACAAATTATTTTCTTGGAAACATCAAAAAAGTTATTTTGAATTTTCAAAATTGTTATAGTACAAATAAAAACAAATTGATGTTTTCCATCTTTTCATTATTTTGTTTTTGAAAACATGAAAACTGAAAACACAACCAAACGCAAAAATCAAGAACAAGAAAAAAGGGATAGAAATGGCAGACGCACAAAGGAATTCTCCAGAAAAGTCCTCCATCTCCTTCCACCACATCTATTAGTAAATAATTTTTACAAAGGAATTATTTATGTGCTTATTAATAAGCACAAAGGATAAACTTTATATTAATAAGCACATTAACGCCCGCAAAGTTAAAAATCCAATGCACTTAACTGGAACAATAATACATATAACCATATTTATGTAAGAACAGTAAATCACTTGAAAGGTTTCAAGTTTTGCAAATAGAATTATTGCAGGACACAAACCAATTATCATCCTTTAAATCATGGTGGCTTGATTCCTTGTCATACGTCACTTGCATAAACGCCTGGACTGATTCCTAATCATACGGCATATAGTAAATGCCTTCATGGGGAGAATGAAATGTGGAACCCGTAGTTGAGCACTGGTTCGCATCTTAACATCACCTTCCAGACTGAAATGGAAAACATTGAAAGATTAGCTGAAGTTCAAATATAAAACATCTATCTTTGACAATCAGTTGAGAAATTGGGTACTTGTATGAATCATGGAAACTGAATCCTGCAATTCTGCTTATATTACTTTTGAAATGGCTTCACCCTAGTTCAAGTCTCTCTCATTGTTTTAATGGTGCATTTTCTCATTCTTCCTCCTCTCATAACAAAGAATACTATGCGTGACAAGCATTTCAAAAGTAGAGGGTCAATCACCCATTCAGGCGATTCACCACCACTTCAGGAATCTACCTGCTGGCCAAAGTAGAGATTATTGCACAAGTAACCATGAAACGGCCTTCGTTAATAAACAGGCCATTTGCATTGAGGCATGCCAATCAATGATGGTGCCTATTATTTAAACAAACCAAATAAAAGGATTGCTCCCTAGTAACCCCAATAGAGTGTGATTTATTATGATGCCACAACATCCTCACACCTATCCTCCAGGCTCCAGTCTAATGGTAGATAAACAATGAGCCTCCAATCTATCTATATGCCAATATGTTGGACTCGAGAATTTGGTTATAAGACAAAAATATCTGGTTTGGAAGCATCTCAAAGCTTTTCCCGGCTGTTTCTCAGCCATACTGTCTCTCTCATCAGATTGTTTTAGTTATTACATTACACCAACTCAAACTCAACAAATCCCACCGACAATCTAGCAGACCAAAAATGTTGGGATGTCTATTAGCTTACCCATAATTATATAACCCAGCCAGCCAATGCACCCCAAATTTGGCACCCCAAAGTTCTCATATGAAATTCAACTAATACCATTGAATGACATAATATATAACCAGCCAAACTTATGCCACACATGAAATTCCATTCTGACATATATAGCTCATCCCAATGACATGAGGAAATAACAAGAAAATAAGCTATGCTTATGGTGAGTGTTCAAATCTTATGCAGTTGTCATTTCTATAACATGGAGCATTTCACACTAGTTCTACACAAACAAATAGAAGGGCCAAAATGGCAAAAAGAAAATTAGGAAAAGAATGAAGGAATCAGCTCCCAACTAAGACAATGGCTTGTTAACAAAACTTGAGTAAAATGGTTTATTGAGAAGATGATTTTAAGAGAAAACTTTACAAACCTGAACGAGAGAAATATCCAATTCACTTGGGAAGGTACTGTGAACACGAGGGGATTCAGGTGAACTCATATCATGCACACTTTCCCCAGCATTTTCATTAGGAGACTGAGTAATTACACTCTCTTGAGTGTCTTTTCCTTTATACGAGAAGTTTGAGGTTGAGCAACTGGATAAAGGAACAGAAATTCCGGTCCGTTTTGAGGGAAGATCAAGGCGCTCAATCATTCGTGCAACACCAGCAATACCTGCATTCATCTCACGTTGAACTCCTCTTCCCAATTCTTTGACTGAGATATTGTGCGCAAGTAGCTTCTCTTTAAATCCTCGGGTACTTTTTGAGATTGATTCCTTATATCTGTTGCACAAGAACCATACATCCAAGAATCAAAGAAATGAAACAAGCAAGCATCAGCTCCTAAAGAAACCAAACTATCAAAAAAAAGTACCTGGCAGAAGCTGCAGAAAATTTCAATTTAACAGACTCCGAGAAAGCAAGAAATTCTGATGAGCTTGGTCTTTGTGGACTTTCAGGGCTGCAAAGGACTCTAAATAATTACCAAACATGTAGAAAGTCATAGAATCATGTATGTGTAAGAACAGTCCGAAGAAACTGACACAAGGGATATTAGGTTGCAACAAACTTCTAAATTATCAAACTCCTTCATTCACGTGTAACATTCAAAAACTATTCATCGATTATAAGAAATAAGTGAAGAGTGTGTTGGTTTATTGAAATTAATTCATGAATATATATATACCAAAATACAAGGATCAATAGTTCTGGCAGGTACCTGGGTTTATTGCAACATTCTCCATTGCCAACAGAGTTGGGTTCCACATTCACAACCTCTGGAACCACAGACCTTAGAGTGCTGAATGTTGGTGAATCACCCTCTGAAAACTCATAACTGGAAGTTTGGCGTTCTTCTGGTGATGTTGTGCGCATATGCTGCACATCAGGTGGAGGTAGATCTCCAGTAGGAACAGAGAGCAGAACCAGTGGAGGACCAATACCAGAAGATCTCGGCCTTCCCCTTCTCTCAACATAACGAGCTCTGCGTGCTGCGGCAGCGAAATGCCTCATAATACGCTCATCGAAATCAGAATCATCTCCATAAGAATTATCCTGAGAGACAAATTTCATTATTAGCAAGCTATTTAACATAACCAATTTGAAGGATAAGTAGATTCAAGTTAAACCATAATACTCACAATATTCATTTCATAGTCCTCACGGATATGGCGAGCATTGCGCCTTGACCTCAAATTCCTCTCATTCTCCACTGCAGCTAAAAGCTCTTGACTAAAGGTAGAAGAAAGAAAATTGACAATAAATAATAACTTCATGAGATTGAATTCATCACTGAGACACCAACACTAAGAAATTCATGAGTTAACAATAACAAATTTTTTGTGAGCCAATGTGATTCTTTCCACACAAAAATCATCTACCTGGAAGGGTCCTTCAAGACAAGAAGCTGCCAACATATAGGGCACTCTTTGCTTCTTTGTGACCTGAAGCAAAAATAAGTTATCATACGAACAAACGAACACAATGTACAAGTAAAAAATGCATGTGAACACATGGGTGTGAAGTGCCATCACTGAAATATTGGTTCTAAAGTTCCAGGCAGTTCAAGTTTAAACTAAATAAAAATAGTAAGTGCATCTACCATTCAAGAATACACTGAAGATGATACTCATGTCTACAGTTGGTGACCTGTGAAAAGAAACAAAACTTCAAAGATTAACACTTGCTTGAACCTACATGTAATTATCTATAAAATGAGCAAGAACAACCAATATATCAGGACAAGTGTATTTATCATAAATTACTAGCAATCATTTGCCAAATTCGCTATCACGACCATAAAATTCAAAACTTTATGACAAAAACCCAATCATAAAGAGAAAAAGAGTTGCAAAAAATAGAAATTCAAAAGAATAACATAATTGACCCCCAAATATATCCGATGAAGATGACAGAATTCCAGCCAAATCAATCAATTGAACTCTAAAATTAAACAGGAAAACTGGGTTTATTGCCACTACTGATCCAGCACAATATATCAATGATGTAGAAAAAGGCACAAATTGACAATCTGAGATCATGAATCACAAAATTCGATCAAACCAACTAACCTAATTAGAAACTTGAAACTCCATGAAACATATACAAACCAAACGATGATAATCAGTGACAAGATTTCGAAAGTGAGAGCAAAAATTAAGCAGCTATTTAATTTCACAAATAAACTCATTCCAACTAGTTCAAGACCATGTCTCGAGTTGTTCAAGTTCGAAGCTTCAAATCTCAATTCAATTCAACCTAAAATCACAAATTTAACAGTCTTCGACTCTACTAAACACATACAGTGGGAGGATCTTGGGAGTTGAAAGGCTCGAGACAGATACTACATGCGTCTTCGAAATCAACGTCGCGGTCAGCAACGGTAGCTCCGGATGACGATGCGGACGAAATCATCAGAGGATTGTCGATTGAGGATACCAAATCCGCCATTTTTACAGTGATCAAGACTCCAGAGAGAGAGAGAGCGAACAATGTTTGGGTAGAGAAGACGGAGATTATAAGGTGAAGTAAGGAACCCTATAAAAATGAAGAGAGAGAGAGAGAGACAGGGGAATGAAGAGGAAGAAGAGAAAGGGGCAGAAAACGCAGGAAAATTCCGCGATTCAGACGGTTGCTAGGAGTAGAATCAATCAAAAGCAAACGCCATTTTAATTTTCGTTTTTTTTATTATTATTTTAATTTTACTTTTTATTTTTTATTTAAAAAATAAAATAGATAATACAAACAAAACAAATATTAGACAAGTTCATTCTCGAAAAAGTTATTAATTATATTTTTGTTTTTAAAAGAATAATCACAGTATAATAAAAACAATTTGAAAAATAGATGTTCTTTTGAATTTCATGGTTTCTATTTTTGAAAATGTGAAAAGTAAAAAATAAAAGGGGAAATTTCAGTACTACAAAAAATAATTACAAATTAGTTTAAAATTTTATAAATATTAATTATTAAATTTATAAATTTTTTAGTGTATTTATATATATATATATATTGCATCTCACTGGGTGTAATTTTCTCAAAATAAAAAATATTGAATGAAATCAAATACTACTAAAAATAAATTATGTAATTGATCCCACGGGAGACACATGATTATTTTGGGATTAATTCTATCAAGACTTTCCTACTATTTGTAACACTTTATTCTCTTTATTGATAACTCCGTTTAAATTGATCCCTTTAATTATAAAAATTATATAAACACAACTCTTGTGAAGTTGAAGTTGGTCTAAAAGAATGAAAGTAATATATTTTTTAGTTGAATGGTCAAAATTTATTGATTCATAAATAACAGATAAGTTGACATTCACAAATAAATAAATGAAAGAGCCTATAACGTAATTAATCCATTATTTCATTTAAAATAAAATAAAATAATTGCATGTCCCTCTATAATTGAAAAGTCACACAAAATTATATATTGTTTGGAATAACCTACCAAAGTTTAAAAGTCAAAAAGTTACTAAGTGCTTGTTTGGGATCTATTATAAAAATTAAAATGTCAAAAAGTTATTAAAAATGTCAAAAATTCCATACTATAAGTGTGACTTTTTTTTATATTTTTTAAATTTTGTAAACATTTTGTCAATTACCAAACACGTTTGTAATTTATGTTTTTCTAAAAATAAACAAAAACCAGTTTATAAAATTTTTGTAAATATAAACTGAAACGTAAACGTTACCAAACACACCCTAAGTGTGTGGGGGAAGCTATTTTTTATTTTTTTTTATATCCGACAGGTTCAATCAGTGTACTTTGTAAATAGATTTAGCAAAGTGAGAAGACGTGGCACATCCCAAGCCATGAATTCCCATTAAAAAAAATTCATGCACACCCCAAAAGTCAACAATTTAGTCAGTGTACTGTGCATTTATAATATTTTATTAGACAATTTTTTTTATAAAAAGTAAAAAAATTATTCCGAACATATATCTTTTTTTCTCTACTTTTTTAGTCAAAAAATGCACTTATATAACACATCTCAAACAACCACTAAAAAAAGACAAAAAGTCCATACTATTCGCGGGAAAAGCCTATGAATTCAACTACTCAAAAGTCAGAAAGTCAAAAAGGTAGAGTGGTCATTTTGATTTTATTACGATATTTTATTATAAATTTTTTTGTAAAAAATTAAAAAATTATCCCAAACATACATATTTTTTTCTCTACTTTTTTAATAAAAAAAATTAAAAAGTAATACATCTCAAACAACTACGGAAAATTGTCATCAAAATAGGGTCTTATTATTATTATTTATAGGAGTCGCATTTTAAGGTTTTATTCCTCTTTAATTTTTAATGCCTTAAGAAGAAAAATAAAATAAAATAAAAAAGTAAAAAATGATCCTAGACCATTCTATTTTGTAAATTTCTTGTTGACGAGGTTGGCGTCAATTATGAGGCGTGAAGGTGAACTGTGAACCAACCACCGCAAATCCAAGCATATGGGTTTAGAAAAAGTAGCAGACAAGCAATATTAAAAAATTAAAAGAAAAAGGTGTAAAAAAAGTTGTGAATTTTAGTGTTTTTTAAGATGGGGAAATGTGATTTTTAGTTTGAAATGAACTAATTTAGGTGTAAGCTTTTACAAGACATTGCTATTCATTTTTTTATGTGAAAAATCATATGGTGAGATGGACCTATGTGAAAAAGAGGTTGATTAAACAAAAATGAATATCCACTTAAAAATTTAAGTTACTTTAACATAACTTTCATTGATTAGATTAATTTGTTTTTAGACACTTCTAAAATAAAGAAACTTAGGTTGACTATAACTTGTTTCTTTATACTTTATTGAACTTGACTTGGATTAGCGATTTTGTTTAGTGACCAATCATATTGACTTGAAATTATCTCAAGAAATAATTGACCAAGTTTTTTTTTTTTTAATTTTTTCATGGGAGATAAATGAATCATGCTTATATACTTTGAAAGCATTAATATGGTTGGTTAGTTTTCAAAATATTTATGAGAAATTTTTTTCTTTCTTTCCAAAAAGCAAACAACATAAAAATTATTTGTGAATTTTCTAAAATTATTTCCACCAACCTAAAAAAAAGAGGAAAAAAAAATGGAAATAATGAGTTTTTTTTTTTTTTTTTTTGGGCCAAACTAGCTTTTGAAAAAATTTAAGAAATAGATCCTGAAAACTTAAATCAATTCCAAGAAAATCTATTATTTAGTTTAATTGGTTTATTTGCAGCTTCATGTGTAATTATATTATCAAAAATTTTAATTGATCAAAAATTATAATTGACATTTACATTTCTCTTGAAATTTGAGCTTATAAAACTTAATTGTATAAATATATTTTTTTCCCTTTTGCAAAATATTATAAAACACGGTCTCAATCGGACAGAGTGAAGTTCTAACAAAGTATAATTATCATAGTTGATTTACTTTGAAATGATGCCACAAAGAACAAGATTAAATAATTAGGTGCAACTATAAAGATTTATAATGAAAATATTAGTGGAGCTAATTTAGAGATATGTTGGAGTTGGAGAAAAGATAGTTAAAAAAAAAAAAAAGAAAAAAAAGAAAAGAAAAATAAAAGAGAAATAGAAGTTAATAACATGTTTGGATCTTTAATTTGTCAAAGAAAATAAAAAATGACATATGTAAGTATGGTTAATAAAATGAATTTGTATATATTCCTTCATTTTTTTTCCTCTTTTATTAAGTTAAAAATATAATAAATTTAACCTTTCACTTTGTTTAGTTTCAATTTTTTTTATTAAAGAGACGAGTTAGAGAAAAGATAGTTCATCAATAATAGGAAAATAAAATAATATATTTGGATCTTGAATTTGTTATAAAAGTGAATTTGTATCTATTCAGTTTTTCCCTTTTTATCAACTTAAAAACAAAAATGAATTTTAAAATTTCACTACTTATTTATCTCAATTTTTTAAGGCAAAATTCATTTTACCTTTGTGATTTGAGATCAAAACACTATACCTCTTATGATTCAATTATAGCCATAAAGTTTTTATGTGGTTTTGGACTAAAGTGTAACCGTTAACTATAAATGTAAATGATCACAAACCTTCTTTTTTTTTAAAAAAAAATAAAATCTTTCTTATATCTCATACACATAATTTATAATGGCTAATATTAATTCAATTAAATCACAATTAATTATAATTATAATTCTTAACTTTTGATTATATTTTAGATGCTAATTAATTATAAATTCTTAATTATTTGTTATAATTCCAATCATTTTAATTTAATTATATTTTTGTATCAATTCTTAGTTATTATTTATTTTAAATTTTAAATCATTTCTTAATTTTATTTTAATTAATATATTAATCTAATTTTAAGATTAGAGAAAACGATCAATTTCACTTTATTTTTTCAAGAAATCAAATTTATTTTTAAAAAATAATGTGTGTGATATAACTTCTATTAATTTGGATGAAAAAATTAACAGTGATAATTTAATCCAAAATCACATGAAAACTTTCTGACTATATTTGAACTAGGGATAAAGTGTTCCAGTCCCAAATCACGAGAAAGTAAAATGAATTTAAGCCTCCGTTTGGGAAGTGGGTTAGCTTTTTGGCTTTTTGGCTTTTTGACTTTTTTGACTATATGAGCCTGGGCTCAAAAGCTTAGTTTGGGAAGGATTTTTGGCTTTTTGGCTTTTTTAATTTTTTTGTGAGAGAAGAATGTAATGATTATGAGGTTGGATGGGATGTTTTGTCTGTTGTGGCTCATGAGCCTATTCTGTCTTTTATGGCTCATTGAGCCAAAAAAGCCCAATGAGCCCTTGCCAAACCAACCCTAACTCTTTTTTTAAGCGAAAATTTCATATCAGTGTAGAATTTAAAAATTAATTACAAATTAATGATAAACTTTATCAATATTAATAATTAAAATTATAACATTTCCGTTCATATGTAATAATTTTCTTAAATTACCATTGACATGTAATTTTTCTTTTTTCTTTTTTTAAAGCCAAAATAATGTATCAAGAAAAAAAATTTTAAAATTTATTTTTTGGAGAACTATATGCAAATGGGAGAAGGGAAAAAAATTACCAACATATGAGGGATATAAGTGACACTTGCACCTTTACAGTCTTTCATTTGCACCCCACTACAAACATAGTTGCACCCCCTGTGTTTGTAATTTCTTTCTTCCATTCTTCCATCTGCATTTAGTTTCCTATTATTTTTAGGGAGAATTAAATGCATGTAAGAAAAGGAAAAGATAATTATCAACGCAGAAAGGAGTACAAGTGACATTTGTATCTGCACAATCTTTCATTTACATTCCACCACAAATATACTTATACCTTCATGTATTAATAATTTTTTTCTTTCTTCTAGCTTGATATAGTTCCACTTATTTTTAAAAGACAAATACTATACGTCTTAAATTTCAGAGATATTTAATTATTTATTTAGTAGAAAATGTTTGGAATAATAAAAATAAATACATTTTTTAATTTTTTACGAAAAGATATAAAAAAATAAAAATAATATAATTTTAAAAAATAAAAAGATAAAAAATATACTTATATGGTGTATCCCAAAGCAAGTCTAAGGCCACGTTTGTTTGGCAGATTAAGTTAAATGAGATTATTAGT